CTTATATTGTACTTCTGGGAAGAACAGTTTAGAACTGGTAGAGCTATCCAGTATAAATAAAGTTAGTTTAGGTTTCCTCCTGTAGTAACATTGGATCAATAAGAGATGATCCTTACTGGAAGAACAGTTTAAAACTGAAAGAGCTATCCAGTATAAATAAAGTTAGTGCAATTTCAGTGCATCAGCTATGATAATAATACGAACGCATGAACAAATTCTGGGATAATGGTCCTATTATTCACCTTGTTATCTTCATGGGGTTGTATCCATATATATCCATTATTACCAATGATAACACTAACTCCACAAGACAAGTCGTGAAAATGCGTTTTACATCTTTTGATGAATGAAGGTGAAACTTGAACTAACAAGCCTTCCTCTAGCTGGAAACGAGACGAAAAGAAATTTAATGATTTCAAATTAGACAAGAGATACAGCTCCCTAAAAAAATATAAACACAACTTCAACGTGTCGAGCGAAGGTTTATATTTACGAGCTGTTTCCAAAAGTGCATGGGCAAACGGGAAAAACTTTCTAGTTGTCCATCATGCCCAATGGACAACTTGCATGTTGGACTAAATTTTAATCTAAGTTAAGCGAAGGGAATCAAACACCACAGCTAAATAGAACATAATGAAATTAGTAAAATTGCAACATTTGGTTGAGAATGAGAAATGTTGTAAAGCTTGGAAAATATAGCCTTGCAAAATTTGTATATGTTTGTATTACGTGTGGAAATTATTAGCATTGTCGGCTCAACAACGGTAACAATTTCCGCACAAACATGTACAAAATATGCAAACTTCGCAAGGCTACATTTTCCGTATCAAAAATTAGTCTAACATGCAAGTTGTCTATTGAATAGAAAATATTTTGTAGAAGAATCCAGGAATTCTTTGCATCAGATTAATTTTTAGAAATTTTAAAATATTCGTTCTTATCCCTGCAATGAATACTAATGTCTAATGACTCGCATATTGCGCTTGGGTCCAACCTTTCCGTATTTCTGACTTCGCGTGTGTAAAGATAAGCAACCATCTGAGAAAATAGACTGAACTTCGGCCTGGATTTTAAGGTTAAGGAAGTAAATAAAATAATTTGTTAATAGTGTACGAATACGTCGCCAGCTCTTTTCCTCTGTCCCAGCTCATGGTGTTTTCTTGTCAGTAGAGAAAATTCGGGAACAAACCGGTTAAGATGTTTGTGATGTTACTCTGAGTATGCATCCACATCAGAGTAACATCACAGAGTAACATCACAAACATCTTATTCACCCGAGTACATAACACCAACACACACACAAAAAACAGGTTAAGGTTTAAATAAGAAAGCTTCAGATTGATAGGAATACAACTACCTGAAAAATACAAGGAGAACTTCGACGTTTTGAGCGAAGGCCATTCACTGACTTCCCGACGAAGGACCACCGCTCGAAATGTCGAAGTTCTCCATGTATTTTTCAGGTAGTTGTATCCCTATCAATCAGAAACTTTCTTATTACTGCCACTACCCACACACTGACACAGACCACTTAAAGGACATTGGCAATAAAAAATTAGTTTGTCTCATTCAAAAGAACTCTTAAAATTATATATTAAACTCTACTACCGATTTGTCATATCTTGCGTAGTTCTCGAAATATTTAGACCGAAATTAATGAGCTTTCCGCCATCTTGGAAAAATTCTTGACCTCATTAACTATGGTTTTGATGACGTCAGGAGTTGGGTTAACCATATAAAACTACTCTAAAATGATCGAATAACAATTTCTTGGATCCTATATGGGGCATATTTTCTTTTCAAAACACTGTTATCAAATTTAGACCAGGGGGTATTTTCTTTGAAAACACTGTCATAAAATTTAGTTGGTTTAATAGCACTTAAATTTTGACTCTTACAGCTGTTAGGCATCAACTGGGCTTCACAGCCTTCACTGTTAACAAAATCTATTCAATTAATAATTTTTAACCTTTTTGTTGATTTTTATGGATAATTTTTTTTAAAGAAATTTCAAAACTTTCTACCAAAGAAAAATTGAAAATCCTTTCTAGCAATCAAAAAATTTTGTAGAAAAGTCGTTCCCAGGATCCACCATTTTTTCCAGGACTGTGAGTAATAATGGTCTGTGTCATATAATTATATCATTTTTTGGTCAATTTTGTTGTTGATTATTTGAATTTTCATTTTTAAAGATACACTTATCAGATCGCCTTCAGAAAGAACATCTCTCATCATTAATTCATCTTGGACCGATCTTCGCCTCTGGAATAGAAAAGTGTATTTATGCATTATCTATGTGTTTCCACAAACAAAAAGAATTGTATGCATTATCTTAGCATTATCTGTATATCACAAGATAACATTTATCTTCCCCTCCATATGACCTACAGTACCAGCTCTCCTCCAGGTAAATTCACAGACGATAACATCAAAACGGAATCTAGTTTTGCAAATGTGTCCACTTTCCAACGTTTCTGACCAACCTAAACACAAACCATACTTGAATTATGTTTTTACATTGATTGTCTCTTTTTCCAACACTGCTTCAATGCTGACTGGAGTGTGTATATCTTCATTGCTTCACAGGAAAAAATTGTTGGGCTAACCTCCTTTATTCTTCCAACAACAACATCACCGACTTCACCATTGTATCTGTTAGTATCAGAAATTTTAAAAAAATTATCATAATAAAAGAATTATAATGGTGAACTTTCATGCACAAGTGCACTACTATTGCCAATTGTTTTATGTGGTGATGGGTACTGGTCACAATGGTGGTCAGGTGATTATGATATTGGTGGTAGTGGAGATGGTAGTGGTGGTGATGGTAATGGTGATGATGGTGGTAGGTGTCTTCAACTAGTAAATCTGCCCTGACATCCAGAAAGGGTAGCAAGTCAAAGTGATATAATTTTGCTATACCTAGTTTTTAGTGGCTTCACAGATATCAGTTTATTTACAATTTCCACAGTTCCAGTGACGGAAGCAACAATTTTGTCATCATCAACAAATGTTCCATGACCTCTGTAAGATAGTATCATTTACACTGTTGAGATTTTGTTGTGTATTTTCGTTGCAGCGAGCAAGTGTCACTGTGTTGACATGAAATAACTTTTCACGTTAATCAATACTTGCATCATATGTACCTGTTGCGACCTAATTCACTCCCATATATACTTTAAATGCTTGGTTACCTTTGTTCCGTTCATTATCAGAATGCGGATAAGTGGTAACCAGGCATGTGAGATGTATGGGAATGTGAATTCGGGATAGCAACAGGGAAAGCATTCAGAGCAAAATACTTTGGGTAAGCCCAACTTGCAAAGTATTCAAGCACCCCCTGAGCCTATGTTCAACACCATATTATAGAGTTAGTTTATTAACTAGTTGGTACACCTCATGTAATCTGATGCTTCCGAAATAGTATCACCAGGCGAAACTATTTTTTTCTTGCTCAAAAAATCACTTGCTGCACACGACACAGGTCGTTTCCTTTGCTTTCTAGGTATCCGCACTTCTATAGATGACATATTTCTACTTTTAAACAAAATTTAGCGTTCCTTCACTCCTGAGTTGACCGCCATTTGCATTTTTTCACATGCGGTGTAAAGTTTCATGTTACACATTTGCATCACCTAGGAGTTGTTCGCGAATTCGTCGTGTATCCGAGCTGATTCCGGACTTTATCCGACGTACGCCCGAAAAGGGCCGAAGATGTGGATTACCCTAACCTGCGATCAGGCTCTCGAAAGTGGAAGGCTTATCCTGAAAAACAGGAATGTGTCATACTTTCATGGAATATCACAAATATATTTCATATTTGAGCAAGTTTTAGCATTTAAATTTTCCACAAGTGTAATTTAAAAACAGTCAAATGGCAACTTTAGATGCTTGAGTGTTTTCAGGTGCAGAAAATAGCATCTTTTAAATTTTAATTTTTTATTTCATTTTAAAAGTTTAAGGAATTTTTGAGCAAAGTAAGGAATTTCAGAGCTCTTGCAGAGGAATTCTCCAATTTAGTATTTTTGTGAAAATATTTTCGAAGAACTGAAGAACACCAAATAATGGCTACAAAACCTGAGGGAAAAGCTGACAATTTCAGGCGAACTTGGGACACAGACGAGTACGAAAAGCTAGCTAAGGAAAGGCTTGAAAATGAGGACGAAGAACCAGCGCCTAAGAGGTCTAACGTGCCTATAAAACGCGAGCTTCTGAAACCACGCGAACACGAAGTTGATTTAGACTCAACTCTGGGTAAATCTGTCGTTATCACAAAAAGCACACCGACATCACAGCAAGGCGGATATTTTTGCAATGTCTGCGACTGTATTGTGAAGGATTCGATAAATTTTTTGGATCATATAAATGGAAAGAAACATCAGAGGAATTTGGGTATGAGCATGAGGGTTGAGAGGTCGTCCTTGGACCAAGTGAAAAAAAGATTTGAACTGAACAAGAGGAAACAAGAGGAAGAGAAGAAGAAGAAGGATTATGATTTTGAGGCGAGGATGACCGAGCTGAAAGAAGAGGTGGGTATTGGAGGCGGTTAATCGAAAAAACCATAGGCAGCCCAATGTTCGTATAAACAAAATATTTGTTGCCTGCGCACGGGCAAGGCATAATAGTTTATGCCTCACCTGTGCGCATGCAATAAGAATTTTGTTACGACCAATTGACCATAACATTGGGCTGCCTATGGAAAAACTGGAACAACCGAGGTTTTCTTGAAAACTGATTCAATTGATGTTGTCTAGGCAAAAACAGGAAAACATTTGTAGCTCAGTTGGTAGAGCATTGGACTAGTATCCGATTCCCACCATGGTCAGGCAAACTTTTCAGCTTGCCCGGTGTGGATGCACACTCAGAGTAACACCAGGGGCGCACATTAGGGGGGGGGGGGGTGTGTGACACCCCCATGTTTTGTGAAATGTATCTAAAAAGTCGGTCCCAAAACCTGAATGGGACGAAAAAGTCGGTCCGGCTAAAATCTGAAAGATATTATCATTTTGTGTCGAAAAAAGTAATAGGTGGACATTCTGGAAATGGAAGTTGCATAAACATAAGAAAAACGAATTAGACAAAGAAAAACAAATTAGATATACACAAATTAGAGTTCACTGACACAAACCAAGAGAGCAAATAATCAACTTCCATGTTGCAACAGTTCAACCGACGTAATGCGATCCGATTACCTCGAGCCCCCGCAGTGCAGTTAAAATGTGCATTGTTAGTCTTGTCGTAAAAGCTGAAACTTTGGAAGGCAGAAGTAAATCAGCGGCGTAGCCAAGATGGGGGCTCAGGGGCTCTGCAATGGGCATAAGGACTGCCCTTGTGGAAAGCTGAAATCCGGGCAGAAATTGGTGTGGGGTACGATGTGTGAATAATGATACCCATCTCTTCTGTTTGCCAATAAAAGTTGAAGTCTTCCGGTCTTCCCTACCTAGAATCCTAACTCCAGTAAAAAATGCCTATATGGTTGCTTTAAAGCACATTTGAACTTGAACTTGCGCTCAAAGCAACACTCATGACCGACTTCTACAAAAACGAAGACATGATGCTATTTTGCTGTTGTATTTGCGTATACAATACCTTGTTTTACATAAACAGTTTTTCGATCTAACAACATTAGGCGGCTTAAAAATGCCTTTTTGTGGTTGTAACTTCTCTTCAAACCTCGTCCTAAAATACGTGAAATAGCGTTCTTTTGAATCTAGAAATTCAAAATTTTCCTCGCGCCTACGGCGCTTGCACTCGAAATCCTTAAAAATTTTGTCCCCCCTCCGAAAGTTTAGACCACTGCAAAAATTCTGAAAAACTGAACGTTTATTTAAACTCTTGGAATATTGGAATACTATCCCCGTCTCACCGTCTATATGCGCTTTAAATAGTTGGCTTTTCTTACCAAACACAAATACTACAAAAGTCGGTCCCAGAACATAGGACACCCCCCCAAATTTTTTTCGAATGTGCGCCCCTGAGTAACACCACAAACATCATATTCACCTGAGTACATAACACCAACACTAACAAAAAGTAATAGAACAATTTTGTTATGCTGTACACAGGAGGAACGTCAGAGGGAGAAGAGAAAGGAAGCGAGAAAACAAAAGAAAAGAAAATTAGAACCAGAGGGTGACATTGATCCAGAAATGGCAGCAATGATGGGCTTCTCTGGCTTTGGAGGAAGCAAAAAATGATACAGGAATGATTGTATGTCTTCGGGAGAAACTCAGGGCTACCAAAGGACCTTATGGCCATTTTGTAATAGACATGTAGACAAATGTGGAAGACCATTCTACCATTTGATGCTTAATGAGAATGCCAAGTTTACTGTATGCTGGTTAAAGGCCCATTTACACTTGCAATTTTAGGTGTGATTTTTTGTCTTCTGACAATGTGAATGAGTGAATGCATGGGTTACGAATGTTCAGATGAGGGTGCAATCCAGTGCATATATTCAGAACATTCATAACTCAGCTAGTTGTTTGCATCCATCAGAAGACGGAAATCGCATTAGAAATTCGCAGAGGCCTTAAGAGAGTTTTAGGATGTGAAATTGTGTATAGGACTGAACGACGAAGCATGGCAAAGTAGTTAAGAATAAAATACTTTGACAAACTTGTTGTAAATTATTATTATGAAAGTACAGTCTGTGTTGAAATGAAAATAATAAACTCATTGTTTGAATACTACAATTTTTTTAAAATACAATATTCTTTTTAAATTAAATTAACCAATAAAATAGTGTTCATTTTAGGTCCCCCCCAGCAGTAGTGTCTATTTATTTAAATAATTATACATGATTTCACTGTGTGAGTCAGTGTGCAATTATTTGCAATAATGTCATATATTTTGATAAATTAGCAATCACTCATGTTACAGTAGTCTGTGCACAGACTGTCCCTCCCCCCTCCCCCCTGGTGGTGGAAGGCATCCCGTGGGGGAGCGGGATGCAGTCTGCGAGCAGACTAATGTTACAGACACTCCCAACTAGACTGCACAGAGGTCCGACTCCTTGTCTGTGTTTTTGATGTCAAGGTAACCAGCCGCTATGTTCCTGCCAAGTATCGGGGGGGGGGAGCACCTCTTGTTAGTGGACTGGCTAGGGACAGTTGCAGCCAGCTAAGGGCGTTTTGCCAAGTCAAACCAAAGTCAGACCGCAGTTAAGCTACTATATGTAGCAATCATCGATCAACTAATGCTTCGTGCACCCCCGCCCCGGAATTTACGTGAAGCGACTGGGGCAAGCACAAACCTGTACATGACATATTACATGAAGTATCGTAGTTTTGCTATAAAAATACGAGATTTAAAAATTGTTCACTATAAAAAATGAATTTTGATGACAGTTTTTTTGAGGACCTTTCTAGTAATACAAAAGAGAAAAAGAAACAATATCCTTATTCCGTTCGACGACAAGACGTTCGTGTAAGTAAAAATTGTAAATAAAAAATTAAAAACTACTATGGGCATTTTTGCCTTACTCCTCAGAAAAAAAGCAAAGATCAAAGGATGCTGATGCACACAACCCCTCAGAAACAGCTTTTTCAACCCCCCTCAGAAATTCTCGTCGATAGAGGGGTGTGCATATTAAATGGAATGGCCCTATGTTCTAGTGGTGTAGACGATAGTGATAACCCAGTGTGGAAAGTTTGTATCGTGCGGCCGAGTGGCAGCCATTTATAGACAGAGTGGAATAATAAAGTAGGGCACATTGCCACTTAAAGGGTCGATTGACTGTTATTTGTATTATTTTGTAGTGGTTCTTGTCAGATAACAACAGTTCAGACAACACCAGGGTGATTGAGCAGTTGAAATATAAAGCAGATTATCTGTACGCTCAAAGTAAATATACTGAAACAATAAAATGTTATGAGCAGCTTTCGCAATTAATTCCTCCATCAAACACTGTGTTGACGCAAGAAGTTTGTGAATCGAGGGTTATGTGTTTGACAAAACTTGACGAAACTGAGCAGGCAGAGACATGCTTAAAACAAATGGTATGCTTCATTTGATGAATTGTTTTTTAACTATATATATATATATATATATATATATATATATATATATATATATATATATATATATATATATATATATATATATATATATATATATATATATATATATATATGTCGACTCCTATCCAGTTGCTGCATGAGCAGTTCTCAGCAGGTCCCATAGACTTAGATCAAGTCCTTCTCTCCAGAGACAGAGTCCGAGTCGCGAAGCGTTATTGCACCTTGCGCCAGTGGCGGAAATTCACTTTTTCCGGGGGGGGGCAAAGCCTCCTAAATTTCCAACAAAACTCTCAAATTTCCGACATACCCCCCATTTGCACTCGAAAAGACTGTTTTTAGCCCTCTTTTAGGTCAAAATTTCTGAAAAATTTTTCAATTTTCCGTGAAGGTGGGGGCATCCGCCCCCCCCCCAAGATTTCCGCCACACCAAGATTTCCGCCACTGCCTCGCGTGCCCGATCCCTCGGACTCTTGAGAGACGGACTTGATCCAAGTCTACAGGTTCCATTATTAATTAATTAATTAAAGTTACATTGCACCCTACTTTATTATTTCAATCTGTCTAATGCCAGATGATAAATGCTGCAGTGCTCAGATGCAGTTAGCACAATATATCCTTACCACTTTTTGTTCATAATCCAGGTAAAAGAAGATAAAATGAATACCAATCTGTGGCATTTGATGTTTACCATAGAGAGAGATAAAAAGAACTTGGAAGGTAATTGTGACTTCAATGATTAATTAAATGGAAAAGGCCTTTAGTTAGTAGTTAGTTTCATGGTGTGGGAAAAATACAAAGATTTTATGTTTTTTTAGTACACAGTTCGGACACAAACTGCGTATAGCTGGTATTAATAAATCATAACTTACTCTTGTATAGGCATTAAACCATAACTCTATAAATTACAGCATTGTGTGATGTAACCATGGTTACTATGCCCTACCATTGCACCCCATATTGCTCCCTACTTTATTATTTTACTCTGTCTAATTCCAGATTATTTCACTCTTACTTCACTTTACTTGTCAAGGGGAGAGTGCTGGCCAGCACTGATCAATAGATACTCAGACTATATCTGCGTCAGTTAGTCCCTTAAGTTGCATTACACCCTGTCTTCCGATCTCTACTTTGTTGTGTTACTCTGTCTAATGCTAGATTATTTTACTCATCAAGGCACCAAAAATTCAATATTTTTTTAGAAGCAGTATTTGCCATACAACAATGTCTGAAAGATAATGAAGAAGTTGCTTTGTATTGGATAGACTTGGCTGAAACATATGCACTGCTTTCAACCTGCTTTGATTGGTTGAATGACCTAAATACCTGCCAATATCTGGAACAAAACGTAGAGCTTGAGAACTTAAACCAAAGATTATTAAATTGTGAATCAAATAAAAATCCAGTTGGCTTAACAGCAAAAGGGAGCCTGTCTTCAGAATGCAGGAAGATGCCGCCATCTAGTATTTCTTGTAATGTGGAAGGGAAGGAGGTACCGGAAAATGAGTTAAGGAATAAACATGCTGCAAACGAGGCACAGGATGATTTACAAAACACAGAAATGAAAATGCCTTGTAATGTGGACGAGTTAGATAAAGAATTGTTATGGAATGAATGTGCAGATACCGAGAGAAAAGAAGACCTACTAAACATTGCAGAAAATGCAGTTACAAACACGATTGCTTCAAAAGGAAGTTTGTCTTGTACTGTGGAAGGAAAAGACTTACTAGATCGACGGTTGTTGCAGTCAAATAAACATACAGAAGCTGATACAAAAGACATACTAAATACGAGAATGTTGAATTGTTCAATTGAAGAACCAGATACGACTCGTTCTGAAGAGAGCGCGTCTGTGGGAATCAACAAATTAAAGAATTATGCAGAAAACCATCATTATTGCTATTGTGCTTTGTGTGCCCTCGTCATATCAAGGTAGGTCGAGTTTTATAATAATAATAATAATAATAATATTTATTCAAGAAGCTCCACTCACTGAAGTGTTTTTCAGCTAGTCCTGTGTTTTGAGGTAGTATGTTGCATTCTTACCAAAGAAAGCTTTGGTAATATAATAATTATATTTAATTTACTAAAAATATGTTCATTTGTAGGTTTTTACTGCACAAATATTCTACTCGCTCTCAATTTACAAAATGTGGAAGAAGACATGGAAATATTCTCAAAGTAAGTATAATGGTATAATTACACCTCTGTCATACGCAGAATGACAATTGTATACGACTAGTTGTATTGTGTAAATGGGCTTAATGAATTTTTTAGGTAAACTTCTTGATCAAAAACATAACTTGTGCTACTAATGAAATAGTGAATGAAACAAGGAAGGTATGGGTCAAATATTTGTTCCTAGACCGTTCATACAAACAAACAGCCAAGCGATCACAGACAACCACAGGCCCAGTGTGGCGGGGTCACAGCGAGGATGGGTACCAAGTTTCAAACATTTTTCGGAATGAAAACGGAAATAAAAACACCGTTCATATTAAGGCATGCAATGCTCTATACTTTGTTGTTTTAATCCATCCATAAGCGTGCAAGGGGGGGGAGGCAGCTGCCCCCCAGAAAAATTGAAGTTGGGCAAATTGTAAATTAATGTATAACTTTTCCCTTTCCTTTCTTCATCTTTCTCTAGTGGTCAAAGACAGAAACAGCACAATTCCTTAAATCATTGAAGATTACATGTCCTCGTTTAGGAAAGCAATGTGTAATATAAATGAACGTAGCTTTTACTAGCTTGAATTGAGACTCAAAATGTTCAATACTCGACCATTACTTAGAATGTAAATTTTTTGTAGTTAGATATAAAATTATAATAATAATAATTTTCACTCTAGTTAGTCCCAAGTTTCCAACGTTTTAGCTATGTTTAATTCCATCTGTTTTTTAAGGGCTAGGTTCTAGAAGACTAGAATACGCCGCCACTGCGTTTAGCGGTGTGTTGCGGTTTAGCGGTGTGTTGCGGTGTGTAAAATTCCCATGGTTATAACCCATTGAACTATAAATAAACTGGAAGGCTAACTGCTATCACAGAATAGGAAGTTATACCAGAAGCGTAACTCGAGCAAATATTTGTCCGCGTTTTTACAAGCGATTCGTCATCAATCACGCCATCCTGGCTAGTACAACCGGCACTTTGTACCTACCAAATCCTGATAAAAACTTCCGGCTGTACTAGCCAGGATGGCGTGGCCTGACGTGAGCGAGTTAAAAATTTTCGTGGACGTCAAACAATAAGGGAAACGACTAGAGTTACGCTTCTGGTATAACCAGTGCTCTCACTTTTAAGGAATTATCCTTAGAAATAGGAATTTTGAAGAGTTTTAAGGATTTTTTTAAGGAATTTAGGTTTTTGAGGATTTTTTTAAGGAATTTCCGAAACGTTTTATCCTGGACTAAAAACATTTGACGGAGAATAACCACGCCACGCAAATGAGATTTAAACTTGAAAGTAGCAACATTATATGCACATAATTACATATATTTGTATGTTCTCCATGTTGTAAATGTACATAAGGCTGTCTTCCATTAAAATTCTCAAAAGTTAAATGTCAGTGTATGCTGTTTCTTCAGAAATCTACAGATTTTCTAAGTTCAGAGGGCCCTAGCGACCGGGGGAGGGGGGAGGGGGAGGGAGGGTGCAACACCCCTAATATTGCTCATGAACAATTTCAGGTAGATATCCTGTAGATTTTCAGGTAAATTCAGGTAATTCTCAGGGCATAAAAAAGTGAACTCTATAATCTGAATTGGAGTTAACAATCAAACAAACTAAAGACGTTGAGATGTGTTGTGAAATACCCTTTCTGACGATCTGGAGACTCCAAATTTCCAAAATTTTCTCAATTCCCATTATAAACTGAAAGTAGCAATACTTATCTTCATTGTTAGGCAATACTAAAATATTGGGTAGGAAAGACTCTAAAAATGCCATTTCCGACGGTCTAGAGACTTCAAATTTTCAAAAAATACGGTTTTAAAGAACGTTCAGTTCGAAAAATTCAGGTAAATCAGGTGAAAAAAAAAAACACTTTGCAACTCTGTGATCAGGCCTTGTAGTAATTTTACCAATTTAAGGAATTTTAAGGAAATCTGAGGAATTTTCGAGCTTTTTCTAAGGAATTCGAAAATTTGATGAGAGCACTGGCACACTGGGCCTAGTGGATTTCCCAACAACAAGGCCAAAACTGCCCTGAAACTGCCCTGAAACTGCCCTGATTGCGAAATGCCCAATTGTTGCGTTCTCAAACAGAATTATTTGCAACTTAACAGCGAATTTAAACCGATACAGGTAAAATAAACTCATTTATAGTATAAACTTACTATTTTTAGTTGTATACACGTCTAGAAAATCGGGTTTTTTATCATAAAGTTTGAAGCAACACTATTATTATGTTGACAAGGTGAAGCGAAAGTACAAAATAATAACTTTTATTCGCAAGACAATCTTCTGTTTTGCTTTGAATAACTATATTTGCGAATTGGGAATGAGGATTTTGAAATTATTGTTCAAATATTACGGATATACCATTTGTAAACAATGTACGTTTTTATATACAGTACTGTACGGGCTAATAATATATGTATCCGTTTTATTTAATAAATTATAATTGTATATGTGTTTGTATATTTTACAAACACAAGGCTGCTTCTTGCCAAAATTGAGAAAATATATATTAAATAAATGTAGTTGTGTATAAGACAAAATTTCATGAAAGATTCTACTTTTGGTATATATTCTGACTCATTTTGTGCTTTCGCTACACCTTGTCAACATATTAAATAATAGTGTTGCTTCGAACTTTATGATAAAAACCCCGATTTTCTAGACGTGTATACAAATAAAAATAGTAAGTTTATACTATAAATGAGTTTATTTTACCTGTATCGGTTTAAATTCGCCGTTAAGTTGCAAATAATTCTGTTCGAGAACGCAATAATTGGGCATTTCGCAACCAGGGCAGTTTCAGGGCAGTTTTGGCCTTGTTGTTGGGAAATCCACTAGGCCTTCTAGGCTTGCTTCCTCCGCCCCGCCCCTAAATCACCTAGTCCCAGTCTTTTCATTTGGAAAAGCGCTGAATATTAAAAAAATATAAATAAGACTAGAAGGCCTAGGTCTAGGCTGG